CAAGGTGTAGGTCTTCAGTCAGTCTCACAGCCCTGTGCTATCACAGGGAAGTGTCTAGGGGCAGGTAGGATGTGGGAATGTCTCTGTAGGATGTCACTGAGGTGATGTCTTCCACTCAGAGGCATTTCTGTGACTCGCAGGTGCACAGGGTGCTGTGTTGGTACCTGCACATGTCATTTTTCCATTCTGTATCAATGGAAAAATTCAGTACATTTTTGGTCTCTCTTCCTGCAAACATATAACAAGTATGAGTTTGCTCTTAATGTAGTGTTTAGGAAGCTACAGACAGACACAAGGACACCAAACAGGATTCAGAAGTCCATCAGCAGAGCAGGTTTTCACTGAGTACACAGGTACAGAACATGGTCACGTTATCTACACTGCAGAAAAAGAATATTGCATGGTCATCCTGCACTCCTTCTTACATCTGCTATGAAGATAAAAACATCAATTAAACTCTCTGGAGGAATTGTGGGAGGCAGATGTTTAATTTGTTGTTAACATGACATGAGTACTTGTATTCTTGGTAACAAACTGCCTATGTGGATTATTCACATAGACACACCATTTCACAGAGTCACAGGATGGGTCAGGTTGGAAGGGACCACCTCCCTGCTCAAGCAGGTCCATCCCAGAGCACATGGCTCAGGATTGCATCCAGATGGTTCTGGAATATCTCTGGTGGGGAAGAATCCACAACCTCTCCGGGCAGTCTGTTCACTGCTCAATGACTGCACAGGGAACAAGTTCTTCCTTGTGTTCAGGTAGAACTTCCTGTGCATCAGTTTTTGCTGTTACCTCTTGTTTTTTTTTATTTCCACAAGTGAGAAAAGTCTAGCTTCTTTCACCTCAAAGTTTCTTAACAATCTGTGCTATTAACACATATGACACATTCACTGACACATCAAAAGGATAAATATTGCAATGGCAAAACCAGTGAGGGGTTAGAAGTCTAAATAGATTTAATCAAGCTGAATGCTGAGCTTTCATGTGCTTTTCATTCAGCCACTCCCTTATGTTTCCCCTTTCCCCACAGGTCACCCTGATGCTCCTGGACCAGAACAACCGTGAGCACATCATTGACGCCTTCCGTCCCGATGTGACGTCCTCGTCCTTCCAGCGGCCTGTGACAGAGATGAACATTGCCAGTGGCTGTCCCCTCTTCTGCCCTGTCTCCATCATGGAAGCCAAGAACTCCTACGTGCGGGACGATGCCATCTTTATTAAAGCCATCGTTGATCTCACAGGCCTCTAACCCTCCTCACCTCGGAGCAGTGAGCGTGGAGCCAGCCCTGCCCGGGGTATCCCCCCTTGTGCTGCCCCTCAGGCAGCTGTGGGAGCAAGGAGGGGGCTCAGAGCTGAAGGAGAAAAGCCCTTCCTGAAAAGGGACCTTCGCTCTGGGTGGAAACGAGGAGTGTGTTAGGAACCCTCTCCCCTGAGGGGAGGTTTGGGTGGACGCCGGCAGGCTGCAGGTTAGGGAAGATTTCCTGCAGGGACTTGGGTGTCTGAACTGCTGCTGTCTGGGCTCCCAGTGGAAACCAGTGCAGCTGTTGCTCTACCAGTTTAGTGTGCATCTGCAGCACTCTGGAGTAAAACAAGGGATTGCCCTGCCCAAGCTCCACCTCTGTGGATTTTGGCTTGGCCATCTAGAACTTCCTTCTGAGACCTCCATGTTCCTGGCAGCTGTGTGCTGTGGGGCGCTGTGGCTCAGCACTGCTGGCTGCTCTGTGCCACAGGGGACAGGGAGGGTGCATGGCAGCCACAGTGCAGTGTGGGCAAGAGAGGTATGGACTGGTCTGATGCTGGTTTGATACAGTGGATGTCTTTGGAGCATGCTGACTGCAGCTGAGGGCAGGGGAGCAATGCCCTGAGTCTAGCCTATGATGGGTGGTGTGTGCTGGGAGCATGGGGTGGGGCAGGAGATGCTGTTCCCAGGAGGGTATGTGGGGCAGCACCAGGGGTGCCTGTAGGAAAAGAAGTGAATCTGCTGTGGAAACTGTCTGTCCTGTGCTGGGAGAGGAGTGTGATGGTGCAGATCCTGAGAGCTCCAGGCCCTGACGCCCTCTGTCTGCCTGTGCCAAGCAGCACTGGGCAGGGTGGGGGCTGTGGTCTGAGCTGGCTGCCCTCCCACTGTGGGGCAGCTGCACCAGTCTTCCCGGGGCTCTCGCTGCTGCCAAGCTCCACTGCCACGTCTGTCTGTCTGGGCACTGTCACCGCCGGTGCTGGCACTGATGGACAGGGCACATCTGTCTGCCCATGCAGTGAGTGCTGCTGGCCACACGGGCCTGCCTGCCACCAGCGCCAGCTGTCCCAGCCTGTGTCTGGCCTCGGCGCAGTGGGACAGCTGGTTCCTGGCACCCTGTAGCCCTTCCTCTGCTCTGCCATGTGTTGAGCCTGCAGACACCTGGGTTGGACCTGGGGGCTGGAGAAATCAGTGAAGTGTGCTGTCCTTTCTGTCCCTGGGCTCCTTCCCTCTGGGCAGTATGTGTTCAGCACCCATAAGGTCTCTCGGTTGCCACATCCCTGCGTGGTGCTGGCTGGTCCCTCTGAAGCTGTTTGTTCTGGCTATGGGTAACAGCCAGGATGGACTCAAGCCTTTGCTGCCTCCTGCCTGTTTTTCCTGCACCCCTATCAGCAGGCAAATGTGCTCCAGGAGATGTTTTGTTGGTGCAGGAGCCAGCTGTGAACCCCCCTGCAATGGTCCAGGGCCCTTGCCAGCTTCTGTGCTGCTCCTCTGGGCAGTGAGGCTGGAGTGTGCTCTCCCTCCTCCATGGCCACCATGGAGCAGGGGCTATGCTGGGCCTGGAGGCTGCAGGGGAGGAATTCTCAAAGCCCCCCACTACCAGTATCTCCTGCCTGGTGCCCAGTTCAGGCCACAGAGCCTGCTTGTGATCTTCTCCCACCTCGGCTCTAGCACAGCCACCCTGGCAGGGCCTGGAGTGCCGTCAGGCGAAGGGCTGTGACCCAGCAGGGAGCTCTGCGGGGTCTGGCAGTTCCTCCCATGCTCTGGCACTGCCTGGCCCTGCACCTGGGGTGGTTTGTGATGTCCCTGGGGAGCTTAGAAGTGCCTGATGTCCTCCAGACAGAGCTGGACCTTGACCCAAGCTGAACCTGCACTCAGGGCTGCTGTGCTAGCCAGGGGCTCTCCCTGCCTGCACATGGGTTCTGGGATCACCTTTGAGATCTCTTTGCAGTCTCCATGTAGATCTTCTCACACCTACGTGTGCAGGGACTGGGGGCAGACTCAGCCTCTGCTGTTGGAGGAGGAGGAGGAAGACAGGAGCCTGTGCCAGCACAGGCAGGCGGAGAAAGGAGGCAGGACCCTTCCTTCCTGGAAGTCCCATCCAGCCTGTCCCAAGGGACAGATCAAGCCCTGTGTAGCTGCTCTCACCCTGTGCCTTTGCTAGGATAACTCTTCCTCCTGAGCCTGAGAGCTCTGCTCCCACCCACAGCAGCTCCCCAGGGAGGCTCCCAACCCCACAGAGGCTAGGAAAGGCCTGGGAAGGGAGATGAAGGTCGGATCTGCTGAGTGGTTGAGAATTGTGTTATGTTGTGGGGAGCTTGTTATGAGTTGATGTAAATGTCTTTGTTCCTGGGGGGGCTCTGACCAAGTAGTGCCAGAGGTGGCTGTGGAGACACTCCCACCCCCACCCTCCCCAACTGGTGGGGTCTGGGCTGCTTTTGGGGTGGGAGCTGATCTTCCTGCCACAGCACATCTGGAAGGTTGGTGGGAGAGTCCATGCTGCAAGCAGAGCTCAGGCTGAGCCCTTCCAGCCTGTGGTGGAGCTGTGGGGTTGCTGCTGGTGAGGCACAGCCTAGGCAGGGCCTGGCAGGTGAGCCTCTGCCCTGGGAATCTTTCCCCACCCTGGAGGTTCTGTCCTGTCACCCAGAGCTCAGGCTGCAGCTCCAGAGCTGGTGATGCTGTCTGGGTCTTTTTTGGGCAGCTCTGAGCTGGCAGCAGGAGTTGTGCCCATGTGCTGTGGGCAGGGGTCCAGCCCCTTGCTGGGCACAGCTCTGCCAGCTTGGCTGCCACATGGACAGACACTTGGCACAAGCCACTGCTGCACTGTTGTGGGGTTTTTCCTTTTTTTTCCCCTTTTGACCACACCTGACACTGTGAACTAATTTTTTTCCCTTGAGGATGTAGTATGGTCAGAGCCACTAATAAAAGCTGTTTGAACAACAGTGTTGTGTATGGTCCATGGGGCACTGGGAAGCAGCAGCCTGGTGGCCACTGTGTCCAGGAGACAAACATAAGAAACACCCATGGGGGCTCAACTCCTGGAAGCCCCCAGACCCACTTTATACTAGGGCAGCTACTGCACAGCAAGACGCAAAAGGCTGTGAGGGGACAGTGGAATTGAAGCTCAGGATGCTGCTGCTGCACAGGAATGTCAACCAGCAGTATAGGGCTCTCTGCTTACCTGCTCCATGCCTGTCAGTGCTTGGAAGGAACAAATCCAGAAGGGATCCAGTCCCTGTCCTGGTGCCTGCTGCACTCAGCAGAGCAGCACAGGGGAAAACAAGCTCACATTGCAGAGATGCTTTAATAGTGTATTTATTCATCGCCGGAGTGAAGAGCAAAACTCGGTACAAACAACCCCTCAGTGCCTCACTCCCTGCTGCACCAAGCCATGGGCGGAGAGTTCACAGTCTGGGGGAGCAGAAGGAGGAGGAGGAGGGAGAGGCTGTTCCTTCGCTGGGTGACTGGACAGAGCAGGAGGTGGAGCCTGCACACACACAGTCCAAGGAACCCCTCAGTCAGTGACAGAAAACCTGAGTACGGGGGATTTGGATGAAGCTGGAGGACAGCAGGACGTGGGGACCAACCCTCCTGCCACAGGGGCTGCTAAGGTCATCAGTGCCATCAGGACAGTAGCTGCCACCTCCATCAGGCCCATCTGCACCCCCAGGCTGTGAGCAGCACAGCCCCAGGCAGATCCCAAAATGCCTCCCCCAGCCCCTGCCTGGGCTGCAGCTCTCTCCCAGCCCCACTCCCAGGAGCAACACCAGTTCCTGGGGCCCCATCCAGGCCAGGTCAATTAATTTTAGACTCCGAGATTTGGATACCTGCTGGAGAGAGAAGCTTCAGGGACAGCCAATGAACATCACTGAGTTCATACCCACCCCAAGTGATGGCCCTGCCACCTGCAGGGTCCCAGGGGAGCTGACCCCCACCCACGTGGGTCAGCCCTGGGGATACGGAGCTTATTCAGCTGTCACTGCAGGCAGGAGGGTCTGTCCCAGGCCCCTGCAGGTGAATGAATACCTGCAGCATCCAAAGGGTGCCTACACCTATTCACAGAGAACATACCAAGAGAACCTAAAGTGCGACGATGTGAGCAGTGTGGGAGGGAGGTGAGGAAGAGCCCATTCAGACACCCCCAAGGGTGCCCTGGGAAGGGACAGCAGATCCCTCACAATAAATACATTCCCAATCCATAGCTTATTGAAGGGCTACTCAGCAGAGGAAGACAGAGGCAAAGCCAGCACCATGTTACCACCAGCCCTCCTTGCTCTTGAGTCTGGAAACTGGCAATATCAACATGTAGTTGCCAACAAGACATGGACAGGCCCTGGCAGCATCCCCAAGGGACAACCAGATCCCCAGCCATACTTCCTGC